TAGCCTGATCCTCGACCACCGTAACCTTGGCCTCTACCACCATAACCTTGATGTGCACCACCATACCCCCCACGATCACTACCAGGTGAAGGAGCAGCAAACTCCGAAGATTGTGGACGGGTCCTAAGATGCGGAGGAACATAGTTGGTTCGCGACGGGCGAGAACTCCCGTAAGCCCAACCAGATTGTGGTGCTCTCTCGGATTCAGAAACATCAGCCCATGATGAACTCATAACTGCAAATTACAATCTCCCAGAAAAGAAAACTTGATGGATCAAACTTCTTGGTCTTCGATTTTGAGTAGATCAAAGCCTGAAGATCGTAAATAAATTTCAGTTAGAACAAGTTCATTTTCCAGAAATGAAGTTGCAGCTATGCATGTAGGAAATAAGAAAAGAACCATCGAATCCATATACTGAAAAATCAAACAAATGCAGATCGATTAAAGAGAAACTATCTCTAGAAGAATCGGAAAAAACCTCAGCTAATCCAAGCAATAGAAGGTCGTAAACAAACAAAATCACGACGAACTAACACAAAGCTGAGAACAATCATTTCCTAAAACCAACAAATGCACAAAATCACTAAAACCCTAGAAGAAGCAAAAAGGAAATCGAACAGGAGATCGCTTGCATATATACACAAAAATGAAAACCATGCACAGAGAGATAAAGCTCCAGACCTTAAGCTCGAATAGAGAGAGAGAAAAATCAAGATCAAAGATCAATGGTGTTCAGAAAAAGCTCCAGAATATAAACCCTAATTTTTCCTTCTTCTCGCGATCGCACACGAAGCAATGAAACAAAGGTTTTCTGGGAAATGAGCAAAAGAGAAACAGATGAAGAGATATTTGTATTTCGATGAACTTTATTAGTATTTTCCAAGATTTTCTCGTTTTAATCAGATTGTTTGCCGTTTTTTATTAACGAACTGCGTGCCGGAGTAGCTATAACGAAGTGAACTGCGTGTCGGCGATAATTTTCTTTAGCGCGTGATCAAAACGACGAGCAAGGATTGGATAGAGACGAATATTTATTTTGGTCTGGACAAAAGTAATTACTGACAAAATTAGAAAATTAATTGCCAGCAGAAATATTACCTACTTATTTCTTATTTTTAACAAATTTCATTTGGAAAAAAAAAGTAATTTTCATTTTTCATTTAAAAGTACACTCTCAAACATTTTTATTTTCGAAATTCATTATTTTCCTATTAGAAATTCTCTCAATTTTTTTGGAAACTCAATTCATTGCAATGAGAATTAAAGCAAAAAAAAAAACATAATTTGAAATATAAAATATTGTAAGAAAATGAAATCCATCATTATACTGTACTGTACAGTATATGCGTGTATGTATTGGTCCCCTCTTGAAAATATACACCGTATTGGTTTGTCCGAAATTTATTTCTTCTCTTTTTTTTTTTTTCCTTCTCGTAGCGAAAAAATCGATCCCACTCTCCGATTCAATTTCTGGGTTTTTATTCCATCGTTTCTAGGTCGTAAATTCGTGTTCGATAATTTTGATTCCGTTGAAGAAAACTGAGTTTAATCTAGGGTTCTTGCAATAATTAGGGTTCATCAATGCTGGAGGGTTTTAGGGTCAAGTAAATGGCGGATCTATTAGGGATCTACTTTATTTATTCTTCTCTCTCGCGTCAATATACAGCTAAAAGTCTCAACCTTTGGGTTCGTTAGTGTTTAATTGCTTTGGGAATTACAGTTAGTTACTTAAAAAGCAATGCTTAGCGTTATTCGAGTGCATCTACCGTCGGAGATACCTATTGTTGGCTGCGAACTTACACCTTATGTGCTTCTCCGGCGGCCGGATAAGACTGCGACTACCGATGATGTGCCTGAGTCAGCTCCGCTTGAAGGTCACTTCTTAAAGTATAGATGGTAAGTTGAGTTATGCCTATGGCTTTCTCTTACACTTTTTGTGCTCCTTTTGCTCGATTCTTTCTTAGTTTCGATTTGTGTGGGCGAGTGGGTTTTAACGGAAAGTGTGAGATTTTGAGTGTGAATTCCTGTTTTATGTTTATGTTTCTTATAAAGTTCAAGTCTTTTTTGTTAGGGGCAAATTTGAGTGTGAGAGATGATTCATTTCATCAGAAAGTGGTGGGTTTTTAAAGTCTTGGATTTGTCTTTAGAATCTGTATTTAAGATGCATCCTCTGGATTTTTCATTTGCAGGTATCGGGTACAGAGCGATAAGAAAGTTGCGATTTGTAGTGTTCATCCATCTGAGCCGGCCACATTGCAATGTTTGGGATGTCTAAAGTCGAAGGTTCCTGTCAACAAAAGCTATCACTGTTCGACTAAGTGTTTTTCTGATGCGTGGCAGCATCACCGTGTGTTGCATGAGCGTGCGGCTAGTGCTGCTGCAGAAGGAAATGATGAAGAAGAGTTGCTCCGTTTAAATAGTTCAGGCTCTGGATCTGGCGTTCTCAGCACCAGTAGTAGTTTAAATAATGGTAATGGATCATCATCACTTTATCCCTCGGTCATAACCCAAAAGACAGGCACAGGAGGGGAAACACTTGTTGAGGTTGGACGCTCTAAGACATACACACCAATGGCTGATGATGTTGGCCATGTTTTGAAGTTTGAGTGTGTAGTGGTCAATGCAGAGACAAAACAGAATATGGGACAATCTTGTACCATATTGACTTCCAGTGTTATTCCAGCTCCATCACCTTCTCCGCGTAGGCTGATTCCTGTTAGTGCAGCTGATGTTATTGGGCACCTGGATTCTAATGGCCGACCTGTGTCGATGGGATCATTCACTGTGCTGTCCTATAATATATTGTCTGATACGTATGCTAGTAGCGACCTATACAGTTACTGCCCCACGTGGGCTCTTTCGTGGACATACCGTAGACAGAATTTATTGCGGGAAATTGTTAAGTACCGTGCAGATATAGTTTGTCTACAGGAGGTATGTTGTAGTTTTCTGCAGAAGTTGTACTGACTTGGAAAACGATGCAATTGCTTTTGGTTTCATTGTGAACAGGTACACTCGTGGTTTATGGAGAAATACCCCTCTTATATTTTCCTTTTTTTCGTGTTGCAGGTACAGAATGATCATTTTGATGAGTTTTTCGCTCCTGAGCTGGATAAGCACGGATACCAAGCTCTTTTTAAACGGAAAACAAATGAGGTTTGTTTGGACGCATCCCCTTGATCCCCTTTTCCTGGTCACTTATGTGTCAAAATGTGCTTAACAGAATATATTGATTCACTTGATAATCTTAGGTTTTCGTCGGTAATACAAACTCAATTGATGGATGTGCTACTTTTTTCAGAAGAGACAGGTTTTCTCATGTTAAGAAATATGAGGTACGTCTTAATTTTCCACTATATTACCTCTTATCTATTTAGGCCCTTTTGCTAAGTCATCAGGCTGCTCATCCAGGTTGAGTTCAATAAGGCTGCCCAATCTTTAACCGATGCTGTTATTCCTGTTGCCCAGAAGAAAATTGCTTTGAATCGATTGTTTAAGGTATTCAAAAATGCTCTACTGTGCGATTCCTGCTTCCACACATATCCATGTTTAATTTTCATTTAGAACTGATTTAGATTCTTTCTCTTTAGGACAATGTTGCACTAATAGTTGTCCTGGAAGCAAAATTCGGTAACCAGGCTGCTGACACTCCTGGGAAGCGCCAGCTACTTTGTGTGGTCAGTTTTTGTATTTACCTTATTCTGTAAGAGAAGGTTCTAAAGATGAATTTGTGTTTTTCCACCTTCTCTTCTGCCTTAATATCCTAGTGATCAATTATTTTGTCTCTTTTATTTTATTTGATGAATGCAGGCAAACACGCATGTAAACGTGTCTCATGAACTGAAGGATGTAAAGCTCTGGCAGGTTGATCTTTATTTCTCATTGTAAAAATACTCAGCAGATTTCAGATTCTAACATCACTACTAATTCATATTTGATTCTTGGAAAAAATAGGTTCATACATTATTAAAGGGGCTGGAGAAAATAGCTGCCAGTGCAGATATTCCAATGCTTGTGTGTGGAGATTTCAATACAGTACCTGGAAGGTTTGGCTGCTTTTCCTTTTTCGTTATGCCCAAATTGCAAAAATGTCAAAATCTAGATCAGATTATGATTATGGTCTATAGTCGTATTAACTAAGAGTTCCTTTTAAATATTCAGTGCTCCTCATTCACTTCTTGCTATGGGGAAGATTGATGCATCACACCCAGATTTGATGGTTGATCCCCTTGGAATTTTACGCCCTTACACCAAGCTAACTCATCAACTGCCATTGGTATTATCTTTCTCAAAACTAGGAAACAGTTGCAACAAACCATGAAAGATATATTAAAAAACTCTAGAATTGCAACATGTGTGTATCATCTTACCTTGTGAGCAATGCAGGTTAGTGCTTACTCATCCTTTGCAAGAATGGGAGGCAGCGTTGTTGCTGAGCAGCAAAGGAGAAGAATGGATCCTACGTCAAATGAACCGTTGTTTACCAACTGTACTAGGGACTTTATAGGCACACTTGATTACATATTTTACACAGGTTAACTTAGGCGATGACTTTCCAGCTTCGCACCCAATGCCTGCAAATTTGCAGCTCAGGTTTCTTTTTCATCTTGTAAACATTTTGCTTCTTTTCTTTATTTCAGCGGATACGCTAGCAGTGGAATCGTTGTTGGAACTGCTGGACGAAGAGAGCTTGAGGAAGGACACAGCTCTTCCATCTCCAGAATGGTCGTCTGATCACATTGCACTTTTGGCTGAATTCCGCTGCATGCCTAAGACCAGACGCTGATACTGCAAACTCACAGATGAAGTAATATTTAATGGAGATATCACAGCTTGTAACCGATACCTAAATACTGGCCCCAATGGAGAAGGTTACGCTACATGAGGTAGATCGCGTGGCCATATCCTCCCCGGGTTTTCTCTTTCTGGGTTCTTCGTTTGTGTTCTACTCTATATCACAGTTTGATTTCCTTTCTCACTGTAAGAAGCATGCTCACTTTATGGTTCATTGTTTTTGTTTTTTTTTACTTCTGATAGTTATTCCTCTTTGCCAGTAGTGGTTTTTTCTCCCCTGGCTTGTCATTGTATCAATGTACACTTTAGATTTATTCAAGAAAATAGTGGCTTGAGTTTACAGTCGCTTCACTTGAGAATAAAATCTGTCTATAGCTCGCTTAATTATTCAATGTTTCAGACTGTTTCACTGTGGATATCTTGCAGAGATTGTGAAAACGGACTCTGAACAACTTTTATATATTTATATGTAAACCTCCAATAACTGCAGAAGAACCATACCTCAAATTTCAATCCAGACATGAGACATGTCAACTAGTAGTCATTATTTAAACAATTTAATCAAGTTTCTTGCAGAAGTAGAACTCTAATTATCCAGCTTGAGAGGTAAACGTATGTGAACAAGTAAAGGTTTATAAAAAGGCATATTGAGTTCCTTTGTTGCATAATAACCGATGGCTAGCTTCATGAGTTACAATCAAAACCGACAAATGCTGTCTCTAAGCATAACAGTAGCGATAATGTTTCTTGGTGTGAGATCAGAATTGAATCAGGACATAAAAGGATGTCAGGATTCCATGTCTGATCTCTACTCTTGTCTTCCTTTTGTCACTAACAAAGCTAAAACTCCAGACTCAACATGTTGCAACACACTCAAGGAAAAATTAGACAAAGGGCAAACCAAGAGATGTCTATGTGTTCTTGTCAAAGACAGGGATGATCCTGGTTTAGGGTTCAAAGTTGATGCCAATCGTGCAATGAGCCTCCCTTCCATTTGTCATGTCCCTGCAAATATCTCACAATGCCCAGGTAAGAAATACTAAAGCCAAATCTCTTCTACAATACCTTTTTCTGGAAGTATAGAAGAAAATGATTTATCAGCTTTACATGGTCACAAAATTATATTCTTTCTCATTATTTCATTGTTGTTTGCAAGAAGAGCTTCTACATTTGCCTCCAGATTCAGTAGCCGCTAAGATTTTTAAGCAATTCACTGAATCCTCTCAGAATGTTGGAAGTCCAGGTACTGATATTACTCATTTTACAGTTTTAATTCTACTCATGCAAACATTATTCCTCCCTTTCCTTGGAACTAGAGAAAATGACAGAAATAACAAACGAACAAAAAATATTGCAGCGGTTTCCACGGGTTCAGGCGTCAAAGGAAGAGATAAGAAGCAATTTGGTTTAGTGATGGCTGGAGCTCTCTCAGTATGGTACTTAGTGTCATCCTTTGTTATGTAAGTTGATAAAAATATAACCAAAACAGCTATATGACTCATATCTAGTATAAGTGAATGTACCTTGGCTTGTTAATAAAACATATTAAGAACACTTAGCATCTGATTAATATTATGCGATTGTAAGTTATATAACTGAGGAGAATCCTCATACGAAGCCACTTGCCTTAAGTAAGGAGCTAGATATTTGTTGAGAGTCCGGGAATATGAGCAAATTAGCTGTGTACTTTGAAGCATGTCAGACGAGGGAACATCTGAAGCAACTCTTCACGGCTTCGTCTCTGCATAAGTAATCACGTGGTTAACATTAGGTAAAGAATAAGTCTTACGTCTCGAGCATCTCCACAAAGTAGAATTAAAATTGAATATCTTCATCGTACACACACCTTAATGCCGATGCAGCCATTAACATCAAGAGTGGTTAGTGTAGTAGAGCAGGTATGAGAGAGAGCCTCCAGACATATATCAGTAACCCCAACTATTCCAAACAAGCTGCAATTTTTTTTTTTTAATTGAATGGTTCATCAAAAAGAATCATAAACAAAATAAAGCAAATAGTTCTATAATTGGATTTAGTACCTGAGAAACTCGAGGGAGGTACAACTATTAGCAATAGTAATCACACCTGGATATGTGATACGCACACACCTGCCATTTTTAAGAAGCATTTGCATTTAAAGCATTTGGAATGAAGACACAGCTTTTCGCTTATTATCTTTCTTGTAAGGGGAAACTTAGCTTACCATGTCAAGTTGAGAGACTCTAGCTTTTTGCACTTGGCTATATCAGCAAGCCCCTCATCAGATAGATTCTGACAACCAAAGTCGCACTCTTAGTTACAGATTATATTGAAGATAAGAAAATCGTAACTGATGTATTTAATCTGTGCTATGGAATTGGTAGCAACCGAATACTTAGTTATATTCTACAAGCCAGTATGAAATGTCCAAAGGAAAAAGGACAATGCAACCAAATGAATTGGGATTCACCAACTAATACCTGAGCACCGCATAGATCTAAGAACCTTAGATCAGCCAAAAGTGATATCTTCTTGTAGGCTTTGTCTGTTAAGCTGTAAGAATTGCAGTATTAGTTTTAGAACTTAGAACAGCTAGATTTTCAATATAGCCAGAGTCAAATGAAATATGCTTTCATATATACCCTGAAAGAGCATAGAGATTTAGAGTATGGAGAGAAGAACACTTCTGTAGCACTTGAAGTAATCCATCATCTGTGATCTTAACACACCTGGCGACATCATAAACAACAAGACTAAACACCAGAACTAGCCTTACAAATCATACTTCCATCTATCTAAACAATCGAAAAATGAAGAACGGCATTATCCAACAATGTTATGGATTATCCATCACCATCAAATGGCCACAGGGATAAGTAGATCTTGAGAAGAAAGACTTTGAACATGTTTAACTTACCTAGTGAGATTCAGCGACTCTAAGTCTTGATAACTTTCAGCTACTAGCTGCATACTTTTGTCGGTTAGGCTCTGCATCAATTGGTGCACATCCAAATCAAATTCCTCATCCAATACAAACATAGAACATAGACGAGAAAGGGGTTTCCATGTGTGGAAAACATTGCCATAATCACAGCTATCCGTCAGGAATATAACTCCAAGATTATAGATTAAGCTACCTTGCAGCCACTTATGTTCAAATCAATGATATGTCTGCAATTCTTCACTAGATGTCTAATGCCAGCATCAGTCACCCTGTGAAATAAATCTAGCATTATGCTTGTCCGAAGAATAAAAAACGATAAGTATGACACAAATGAGTCAGACATTATCACCTCACGTTCCAGTAGATAGAGAAAACTTTTAACTTGGGACATATGCTAGTTATAACTTCGATTCCACTGTCCGATATCTTTTGGCACCCATTCAGATTCAGGCATTCTAAACTTAAAAGAGCATCCTGGCACTGAAATGTTCAAAAAAGTAATTAAAACGGTTAGAAAGATTCACGTAGTCAAGTATTCATGAATTCCACATTTATCCAGAAAACATAAAGTCACGCTCTATGATTGGAACCATGACTATGTAAGTTCTGATAGAATCTGCAAAAAAATGTACCCGGCTTTTCACAAGTTTAAGATGACTGTCTTCAACACCCTGAGCAAATTCAAGATTGATATGCTTCACTTGACGATATCTTGGCTGCAAAAATGAAAGCACAGTGAGCCACTCTTGCTCAAACTATTTAAACACTCAAAACAGAAATAAATCCCAGGAAATCCAGCACAGTCCAGTATCAAAGAAGCCTCAAAGTATCAAACTTTTAGTTTTAACTAACCAGGGACAGAGCAGCTAAAAGCCGATCCCCTGCATTGGTCATCTCTCTCAAATCTATGTTCTGCAAGAGAGCAATCAACACTTTGTATCATATAATTTATGGAAAAATTGAAAACTTGGAAAGACCTGAGAAGAAGTCAAGCTTTGTTTTACCAGCCAGACTGAAGAGTAAGAGACAAGGGTGCGATAGAGCCAAGGGCTAACGAGAAGGAGAGAAATTAGATCTTTCTGAGGCAATCTCGTGCTCACTATTCTCATCACGCTTGTAACTATCTCTCTCCTCCATGTC